TGGCACAGCTCTCAGGAGAAGGGATCACGCTGCGGGGACTGTACCAGTCCGGCTCGTTTGGCGTCCAGGCAGTGATTAACGTTGACGAGCAGCCCGGGGTAGCCTTGCGGTATCAGCTCCTTTGGTTTAAGACTACTTTGTTCTGACAGCGTTAAATAGGTCACTGCTCAACCCTATACCAATAAAAGCCGGTATGGGAAGCTGTGCATCCAGCCTAGGTATCTCTTTCTATTAAATTCCCTCACGGAGCTACACTAAATCACATCAGGAGGACTTGAATAAATATATAGATATGTGCCCGTGTGCTTTATGTTCGCCGTTTCCCCAGAGGGAGGATTCCTGCCACCCCCCTCCCTGTGCGACGCCGCTGTCTGTCCTGTCGGCACTGTGTGCTGGGCTTTGTTCTCCTACACCTTTCCCAGCACAGCAAATCCAGGGGGAAATCCAGACCAGTACTATTTAACATCTTTGTTGGAGACGTGGACAGTGGGATAGAGTGCACCCTCAGCAAGTTTGCTGATGACACCAAGCTCGGTGGCGCAGTTGCCAAGCTGGAGGGAAGGGATGCCATCCAGAGGGACCTGGACAGGCTGGAGAGGTGGGCTCATGCAAATTGCATGAGGTTCAACCAAGCCAAGTGCAAGGTCCTGCACCTGAGGCGTGGCAACCCTAGGCACAAATAAAGGTTGGGTGGAGAATGGCTGGAGAGCAGCCCTGAGGAGAAGGTCTTGGGGGTGCTTATGGACGAAAGGCTCACCATGAGCCGGCAGTGCGCGCTGGCAGCCCAGAGAGCCAACCGTGTCCTGGGCTGCATCAGGAGAAGTGTGGCCAGCAGGTCATGGGAGATGATTCTACCCCTCTGCTCTGCACTCGTGAGACCCCACCTGGAGCTCTGTGTCCAGCTTTGGAGTCCTCAACACAGAAAGGACATGGACCTGTTGGAACGGGTCCAGCAGAGGGCCACGAAGATGCTCAGAGGGATGGAGCACCTCTCCAGGCTGAGGGAGCTGGGATTGTTCAGCCTGGAGAAGGCTCCGGGGAGACCTTATAGCGGCCTTTCAATACCTGAAGGGTGCCTATAGAAGAGCTGGGGAGGGACTCTTTGCCAGAAGATGTAATGATAGGACAAGGGGAAACGGTTTTAAATTGGAAGAAAAAAGATTCAGATTAGATCTCAGGAAGAAATTCTTTGCTGTGAGGGTGGTGAGACACTGGAACATGTTGCCCAGGGAAGCTGTGGCTGCCCCATCCCTGGAAGTGTTCAAGGCCAGGCTGGATGGGGCTTGGAGCAACCTGCTCTAGTGGGAGGTGTCCCTGCCCAGGGCAGGGGGGTTGGAACTCGATGATCTTTGAGGTCCCTTCCAACCCAAACCATTCTATGATTCTAAATGGGGTGGTCAGAGGGCAGGTGGATGAGGAACCGTGTCCCCTGCTCCTGATGACAGCCGTGGTGGCTTTATCTCGGGCTTCAGGCATGCCGGGATGTGGCACGTTCCCGGTGCAGGGTGCGATGCCAGGTAGGACTAAAAGCTTGGAAAGAAGCCCACTCCTACCTCAATATATTATTTGTATTTATTATTATGCCTTCTGATTTATGATTTGGAGAGTGTGATTACTTTTCCTTCTTCCTGTCTGCTGCTATTGAGGCGTTGTTGTCACTGAGTAAAAAATGTGATGATGAGCAGCCCCAAAGCGTTTTGTATCTACCGAGTGTTTAGTGGACAATAAATGATAAGCTCTTCTTCTATCACGAAGCTGGTTTCCCTTTGCAACTCCTGGCCTGTTTTTTTTTTTTATATTATTTGTATTTATTATTATGCCTTCTGATTTATGATTTGGAGAGTGTGATTACTTTTCCTTCTTCCTGTCTGCTGCTATTGAGGCGTTGTTGTCACTGAGTAAAAAATGTGATGATGAGCAGCCCCAAAGCGTTTTGTATCTTCCAAGTGTTTAGTGGACAATAAATGATAAGCTCTTCTTCTATCACGAAGCTGGTTTCCCTTTGCAACTCCTGGCCTGTTTTTTTTTTTTCCTCCTTTTTTTCTCTAATTGCTTTGAACAATGCAGAGTCTGGTTTTGAAGGACAGGCTCTAATTTTAGGACTAGAATATTTGACCATATAAATTCAGCCTCCCACTGCTAGGCTTCTCCTTCAGATGCTGACCAGAGATGTTGGTTGGAGCAGCAGGACAGGCAGGGGGTCTCCTGCTACCCCTTTCACCAGGTGGGATGAGTGGCCATTCGACAAGCTCTCAATTTTGATCAGGGAAGAAATGATAGAAGAGAATATAACAGAATAAAATGGTTTGGGTGGGAAGGGACCTTAAAGATCATCTCATTCCACCCCCTGCCCTGGGCAGGGACACCTCCCACCACACCAGGTTGCTCCAAGCCCCATCCAACCTGGCCTTGAACCCCTCCCGAGAAATGTTCCAGCATTTCCATGCCTCTGTTGGTGATGTGTTTGGTTGCTGAGGTTTTAATTTTACCCCCAAAATGGGGAGAGAGGAGCAACTGGGAGGCACTGGGCAGCCCTAGAGGCATCTTTGATGCCCACCTAGCCCAGTGTGGTGCCTGGCCAGTTCCTTGCTCCCTGCTTCATCCCAAGGGAAGCAGAAGGAAGAGCAGCACCTCCAGCTTCCCAGCTGGGAAGAACCGTGCTGGTTTTTCATCCCGTCGACGTGAGACTCGTCCCAGCTCAGGACCCAGCCGTGTGGGTCTCTGCTGGGAGCTGCTCTGCCCTCTCCTCAGGATGTGGGATGGAATTTTTCTGCTCATGGCTGTGTGCTGGCTCATGTTAGGCAAATCCTGTCCCTGACACAGAGGAAATGTGCCCTCCCTGGTGACAGCACCGAGCTTACAGCCAAGCTGTGAGTGTGTGACAAGAGGAGAGCATATGCTCCTCGGTGGTTCGCTGCCAGAAGTCTTCTAATGGGTAGGGATTTTCACATCAATATTTAAGAACATCTTCGTTCTTCACATGGAGAGTCAGAGTATGGACTTCTACGGTAGATTAGGTACAATTTGTGTCTCCGTGCTGCAGGATAGACAGCAATTTAAGGAAAGTGGTTTGAAAGACATAATGCTGTAGGATGGCTCCTGTGGAACACGTATGGAGGTACAGATTTTTGGAGCTCTGTGGAGCTTTGTAGATATACGTGTCTTCAATTTGTTGCTAGAAATGTGAGGACTTAGAAATTATTTGTTACACTGGGTATACAGTACAATACAACACAACATATACAGTCCAGTACATTAGTCCTTTCCCTTATTTAAACCCAGAAATCGTGTCTCTTAGCAGTGGTCAGACATTGCCATATATTCCTCCTCCTTGGGCAGGATCCTTCTGCAGCTCTGCCTTATCCTGACCCTTTCGAAGTTCTCTTTTTCTTGTTTTTATGACAGATTTTGTGTAGTTATTTTTCAAAATATGTAGGTTAAAAAGTTAGACACCAGTGCAAACTCCATGCAGCTCTTTAGGCTACCCTTTACAGCCTGACTTTTCTAGCCCAGCTGGCAAAAGCCATCATTCACCAGACAGATGTATTAATTTCTTAGTAAGAATCCCATTTGCTTGGGAAATGGCTCAAGAAGGGCCATCTATTTCCTGTTCAATGCTTACCTTGAGTGGACAGTTAGACCTAGACTGTAGGATTTTGAGATCTTTGTAGGAATTTCCTCCTATAGTGAAAATTTACTTCACCTTTTGTATAAATGCCCAGTCGTACACACTTCCCTCGGTGGTGGCTCCTGGAGGTCTAGGTTCAAGCCTTGGGCTTGCTCAGCTTCTGGGCAAAGAGGAGAGGAGAGGAGAGGAGAGGAGAGGAGAGGAGAGGAGAGGAGAGGAGAGGAGAGGAGAGGAGAGGAGAGGAGAGGAGAGGAGAGGAGAGGAGAGGAGAGGAGAGGAGAGGAGAGGAGAGGAGAGGAGAGGAGAGGAGAGGAGAGGAGAGGAGAGGAGAGGAGAGGAGAGGAGAGGAGAGGAGAGGAGAGGAGAGGAGAGGAGAGGAGAGGAGAGGAGAGGAGAGGAGAGGAGAGGAGAGGAGAGGAGAGGAGAGGAGAGGAGAGGAGAGGAGAGGAGAGGAGAGGAGAGGAGAGGAGAGGAGACTATTTCAGTTGGAAGGGACTTAACAATGAGTTGAGTGTGTGAGGTTTTGGGGAGAGGGGGATGGATATCTCAGACTCATCATGAGCACACATTCCCTTTACCTTACATTAACTGTTCTGCAAGATCAGAGCCCTGTCTGTCAGTTGGCTCAACGTAAAGATGAGCTGTTTAGGATGATGGAGACAGAAGAGAGGAGCCACTGCACACTTGGGATGTTTCCAGGCGTCCTGAATAATGTCCCAGACAAAAAAAATCTAAGTGTGGCAGTACCTTAGGTCCTGCCTTACAGGCTGTTGTGTTCAGCTGCTGCTTCTGTCTGCTGTTTTCCTTTCATACCACTATAGCTTTTGTGTTGCCCTGTCGAGTAGCTTTTAATAATGTGACTTTTGCCACTTTTTCCCAGCTGAAGCACAGAACAAAGCTTTAGGTGAGCAGCAGCCGCGGCGGGGAGGGAAGTACTTACACAATGGTGCTGTATTTCCAGGGAGGGGTGATTCTAACCAGGCTTTATAATACCTTAATTATATTTGATGTGACCCAGCTCTTGACAGTCTTGAATCTGAGGTTGTCAAACAGGATTTAAATATTGTAAAGATTTCTGGACAGTGCCCACAGCTGAGCTGTATTTCACGGTGTCAGGAAGTGAAGAGATTCTTTGGAAGTGGAGAAAGAGAGGTTTTTCTTGGGATTTTTGTCTTTGGCTTCGTGCACTGATTCAGTAAAGCCAAGTTATTTCTCTGCTAAATTCTGCAAATTTTTCCTTCTAGCAACAACATGTAAAACCCACTCAAAGAAAATGAGAAATGAATATTTTAGAAGTATTTTATGAGTCTGCCTGGGGAGGGGGTTTCTGTTTCTTACCTACGTTTTCTTAGTGCCATGAATTTGCTTTCAGGGCTCAGCAGATTCGTACACAAGCAGACCCTCAGACTCGGATGTCTCTCTGGAAGAAGACAGGGAAGCAATCCGCCAGGAAAGGGAGCAGCAGGCAGCTATACAGCTTGAAAGGGCGAAGGTGTGTTCTTTTCCACTTTAATAATAACGAAATTACGTGGCATTTATCTTTTGCCTAGTGCTAAAATTCACCCTGGTGGGTTATAATGATGCTCTTTTGCAAGAGGTTGGCGATTGAGTCAAGTTATCTGCGGACAAGATGTTGGGGGGAATAGAGTATAAATAATCTCCTATAAATGGGGGTGTTCTCTAGCAAGCTGAACTCTGCTGGCTCGCGTGAAGCTTGGCAGATGACCTCTGCTGGGTTTTTGCTAATTTGATAGAATTCTTGATTCAGAAAAGCTTCTGCTGTTTGTGATGTGTGTTTCTCTTTTAGTCCAAACCAGTAGCGTTTGCTGTTAAGACTAATGTGAGTTACTGTGGAGCACTGGATGAAGATGTTCCTGTCCCAAGCACTGCCATCTCTTTTGACGCCAAGGACTTCCTACACATTAAAGAGGTAAAAAACCAAGAAGCAGTAAAAGGGAATCTTTTTTACATGCCAAGGACTGGAATTTGATCAGCCGGGGCTGAGCCAGACCGGATTGAAAAGAGAGCCAAGAGCTGAGTGGAGGCAGGAGAGCACAACACACACCTCTGATTAGCAATGATAGGGTGGTGCTTCAGCCTTTCGAGACTTCCAGCACCCTGGGGTACTTATCTTGCATTTTTTTAATGCTTAATATTACCCACTGGTTGTTGGATTTTGATGTCACAGAGTAGGAAACAAAATCTTGCTGTATTTTAAATCTCCTTCGACATGGTAGGTTCAGATTCTTTTCATCAAATGAAGTTTGTGATGCATCAGAGATTCCATATTAGAAAGGGATTCTACTCACCAAGAAGTGGAGTAGCACCAGGTTGCACCAGGTCTTCATAAAGCAACAGATGAACTTGTGACTGGGGGAAATAAGACTTGGAATAATACAATAAAAAAAGAAAATATTGAAGAGGACAGATAGAAAAATAAGGACAAATAAGGGAATATCTGGGCCCTGAGTATGGCTTTGGTAGAGAAAAATACATTTTATTGCACGTTGGGCATCTTTTCTGCAATTCTTTATCTGAAGTGAGCCCTCCAGATTTGCATAACCCCCTGGTGTTCTGCAGATTTGTACATGGGCTTGCAGCTTGCAAAAACAGTTTTTGATCCCTGTATTCTGGGTTTATTTTAAGGGTGTTCAGTGCTCATCTCTCTCTTTGAACAAGTGTCCGTCATCGCTTCAGAGCACCCATCCCCCTTCCACTGAGCACTTTTAGGAGGAAAACACCTGCTTCTGCACCTCTGGAGGCAGAGATTGGTGGTAGAATGGGGTGTGTGGGGGGGTGTGATTTAAATTCTTCCTCCCTGAGAAGGACATAGGAGAAGCAGTTGATTCCCTTGTTCCATTTTCTCAATTCGTTCCATTTCCTCAATTTCTCAAACAGCTGGAAGTTTGATTTGGATTTTTTTGCTTGGATTGGTTTTTTTTTTTTTTGGTGTGTATCTTTTTTTTAATATTTGTGTAGAACAGGGCTTGAACCCCTGCTGGGGAAGCGGAGCACTGAGTTTGGATCTGGCTATCTCTGCGTGCAGAACTGACTGCTCCTCCTCTTCCTCCCCCAGGAATGTTCTTTCTAGCCCCACACCTGAACTCCCTCCATGCACACCACTTTCTAAACCTGCTTCCCATCAGGAAGAGGTCCTTTGCCAGCTCTTGGAGCAGAATGCAAACAGCTCCATCCATTCCAGCACTCAGATTGCTTTCTCATCTACCTTCCCTCACCTTTTCCCATCCTCACCTTTCCTGACACACTCTCTTTCTAGTGTACATTGGCCTGTGTAACCAAACTCTGTGCATCACCCATAAAACAAGGATTTGATCTTGGCTTTCCCAGATGCCTTTACTGTCAGGCCAGTGATCATATTTAAATTACTCTTATCGTGCTGCCCTGTGCATTTTTTCCAGAGAAGTGACCCGAGGCCATGTCTTGGCATTCTGTGATTCTCCTTCCACGACCTAAATGGCCAGGATGGCATTGCCACCAAACTGTAAGCCATCTGGCTTGCTGGTGTCTGTCACCTCTGCTAAGGGTTTAGCCTGGTTCCTTTGGTTTGCCTGACGCTGCGGCTGTAGCTCGGTAGGATTTCAGGAGTGGTTCTCTGTGCTGGAGTCTGGAGCTGCCTGGAGAAAAGGCTGTGCAAAATTTGGTTTTTAATGATCTGGCAGGGCTAGAACAAGCCTGGTTCCAGATTTTAGAATAACACTAAACCAGGTAAGAAGCGAGGTCATTCTGCTGATGGGCTGGAACACCAGCGGCAGCTGATGAGTTGCTATCTTGGGAACGTGTCTCGTGTGTCTCATCTGTCTCCTACAAGACTATACATTATGTGCCTGCTTAAAAGATGAAGTGGCAACAATCACTGACAGTGCAGGAGAAATCATGGCCATGGCAACCAATCGGAACGAACTGTGGTCCTCCCACACACTGAACACAAGGAATAACATATGGGAGGTAATGACCTAATGCACGTAGCCCTGCGCTCCCTGCTGCACCCTTAGCATCCCCCCTATTGTCCCCATATTCTCAGCAGAGCTGACTCTGATCTCTAGAGGCATCACTCAGAGGTCCGTGACCTGCTAATGGAAGGAAGATCCCCTCGTTCAAGCCCTATGTTTAGAACCAAAATAGTGTGGGTGATGCTCGTGGGATACAGGTTTTGCCGTGGTTTAAATCCACTGATTGGTTTCACTGATTTCCAACAGCAGAATGCTCAATCCTGAAGTATTTGTTATTTTAGAGAATGTAAGTAATTCTGTTGACTTAAGCAGAAGAAACATATTTAAGATTAAGCTTTGCTTACTGACATTGTCCAAATCAGGGCCATAACAGCATGAAGAACTGACACTTAAAAAGCTGAAATGACAAAGTGATGGAACCTCTTGCATAAATAGCAGCTCTATAAAGAGGAGAGGTTTTCAAGATGATGGTATAAGGATTGCATTTCCCCTAGCTGTAGATGTTCCTCTTTGTGTTTATGTGTGGGTTAATAAATAGGGTAATTTATTTTTGGAAGGCATTGAGGCTCTGTGTGTTTCAGAGGCTTCCATCAGGCGCTCTTGTCCCTTCCCAAATAGGACGTGGTGTTTCTGTCTTTCTGCAAGAACTTCAGTGCTGGAGAATGTGGAGCCAAGAGAACTCATCATTTCTAAGAGGAGATTTCTGTGTGCTTGTTTTAATGACTTGAAGGTCTGCAGTGAGAAGTAACGTTTCTCTTGATGACTGAAGTACCTAATGAAGCATAGCAGAGTATAAGGTTTTCATGTATTTTTCTTCAAAAGCTCTGCTCTGCTGGCAGCCACCTACAACACATCCTTTTCCATGATGATTTCCACTATGATACCTCTTCTCATCTCTCCATCATTAAAGTTAGGCCAGGCTTTCAGTAGTGCCGAAAAATGTATCTTAATGATAAAATTAAATTTTGTACGTTCAGTTACATATTAAGCTTTCTTCCTGAAGCTGGAGTTTTCTTCAGCTGTCCTAAATTTAAAAGCGTGTGCCTCCAAATAGTTGAGCTGCTTCTAGGCAGCAGCACCATGAAAACTTCATTTGTGGGGAGGTTTCACAGATTTGGTTAGAGCTCTGCCATAGCATTAACCAGAAACGGGGTCGGTTCATTGCTGGAGCTGGTCAGATTTCTGTCCTGTTTTGGGTAAGTTGATCTGTTGTTATTTTTGGTGTGGTTATTTTTGGTTATTTTTGGTTACCTTTTCCACCCCACAAGGCTTTGGCAAAGAGGTAACATGTTAATAACATCCGTACAAGTACCTGGAAAGGAGGAAGGAAAAACGATGGTGGTGACCTTCCGTGTAGACCAGTAACTTTTACAAGGAAGCAAAAATGCTGGGTTTGGTGGAGTTTATGCTTATGGGTAACAAAATAAGGGAGTTGCGGACACAGAACTGAAGCCAGTAACCTTTCTGTGTTCCAGAAATATAATAATGACTGGTGGATAGGAAGGCTGGTTAAGGAGGGCTGCGAGATCGGCTTTATTCCGAGCCCGCTTAGACTGGAGAACATCCGCATCCAACAGGAGCAGAAGAGAGGACGTTTCCATGGAGGGTAAGGATGCTGTAACCTTTTAAAATCATTGAAAATCGTTTCTGACACCGGACCGTATTTCCAAAGGTCACTGGATGCTTTTTTTTATTGCAGTGCATTCGGAGGAGTGTTTGGTTTGGGATTTCAAATGGAAATACGTATTTGCAGAGAACAGACGCCTTAGACATTGGAGATGAGAAACAAGAAAAATTGTGTATTGACTTTAGGAAAGATCAGGAATACAGGATGAGTGGTAGTGACAGGAATTTCTGAGGGGCTGAAGCGTTTTACATCCCCTGGGGTTTAAGTCAACTTGGTGCTCAAAGGCTTACAGATTTTTTTCCCAACTGTTTCTATGTTCTTAACGTGGGCTTTTTCTTCCAGTTTTTTCTTTCTCTCTCTCCATTTTTGGGCAAAACCAGATTTTTCAAACTTTATGAGATGAGCTTTATCATTGGACTTTATTCTTCGTCTTCCAGCCTGGCCATTCTGTGTCCTCACACTGCTACAGCTGGAGACTGCAAGTCCCTGGAAAAGTCTTTATTCTTCATCTTCTGGCCCGACCATTCTGTGTCCTCACACTGCCACAGCTGGAGACTGCAAGTCCCTGGAAAAGTATAAACTTGGTCAACACTCTGGGAAATAAAACTGATTTCTCGTAGTCTCAGTTCAGACACTGAAGTCACTCTTCTGAAAGCACAATATTAAAAATTTCTGTTAAATAGTAAAAATTAATAATGGCTTTACTATTAACGTTTTATTCCCTCTAATTGAAAAGGAAATTTAAATGTTGCCACAGATAACGAGGAGAACAAACCCTTTAGTGCTGCAGAGTAGAGAGATGAGCCAATTGAATCTGGACCGAATAGATAGCAGTAAGAGGAGCATAATTTAGCCCGTACAGTACTGTCAGAGAATTGGCATACTAATACACTTCAGCAAGGTCAGGAATCATTTCAAGTATAAACCATCTGGGGAAATGTTTTTAGAATGATTGAACAGCATTAACTGTGCTTTTCCCAAATTGCTTTTATAATTTTTGAAATGGCTTCAGAGGAAGCCGGCGTATCGCGATGTACAGAGAGGAGATTATCTAATTCAGAGGGATGGACACGGACGGCGTACGGAGGATGCTGTCTCAGATACAGCATATTAGAAAAATTCCCTGCTTGTGTCAGTGGGTATGACTCCACCAAATCACCAATTCTTGCAAAGATTTTTGTCTAATCTCACCTATGGAATAACATCGAGTGTGGAAGAGACAGGGGAAATATTGTAAAGGATATCTGTTAAGGTAGTAAGTGGTCTGCACTGACACTCCTGGATTTGTATGATAAAATTGAAAGTAATGTATAATGATAAAATAGTTTATTTTTGAGCACCTTAATTTAGATACAGTTTTATGGTGTCTGTACCTTAAGATTTGTTTAAAAGCTGTGACTGGCTGTCATACTAAGGCTCCATGGGATGAAGAAGAATTCTAGTTTTGTCTAAGTGTGGTACTGAAAAGTCCTCTATAAAAGAGGGTTTAGATACCTCCAGGGATGGTGACTCCACCACTGCCCTGGGCAGCCTCTTCAAAGGCTTCACAACCCTTTCCATGAGGAAATTTTTCCCAATCTCCATCCTAAACCTCCCCTGGTGCATCTTGAGGCCATTTCCTCTTGTCCCATGGCCTGTTCCTTGGGAGCAGAGACCAACCCCCCCTGGCTACACCCTCCTTTCAGGGAGTTGGAGAGAGCGAGAAGGTCTCCCCTCAGCCTCCTTTTCTCCAGGCTGAACACCCCCAGCTCCCTCAGCCTCTCCTCACAAAACTTGTGCTCCAGACCCCTCACCAGCTCCGTTCCCCTTCTCTGGACCCGCTCAAGGTCTTTTTTGTGGTAAGAGGCCCAAAGCACTCAAGGTGGAGCCTCACCAGTGCCCAGTACAGGGGGACCATCACCTCCTGAGTCCTACTCCCCACACTGTTCCTAATCCAGGCCAGGATGCTGGTGACCTTCTAGGCCACCTGGGCACACTGCTGGCTCCTGTTCAGCCGACTGTTGACCAACACCCCCAGGTCCTTTTTGGCAGGGGAGCTCCAGCCACTCTGCCCCAGGGCTGTGGTGTTCTTGGGGTTAATTACAGAAGGTTTGGTTTCCCATGTCCCTGCCTGGGACTTCACACTTCAGAGGAACCTTTCTTGCAGCATGAATGTAGGTGAAGACTCTGCTTTACCCTGTGATTTCTCACGAGTTCACATCTTGGGGTGCGTGGTGCTAACAGGGCTCTTTTTCTGCTTCCGTAGGAAATCGAGTGGAAATTCTTCTTCAAGCCTCGGAGAAATGGTTTCTGGCACGTTTCGAGCCACTCCCACTTCCACAGGTAAGACAGAATTTTATTGAAGGAAACTCTTGCTATTTCTAATATTTCTATTTTAAAACCCGTATATGAAAAATGTGGGTTTCCCCCCCCTCTTTGACTTATGAAGAGGTTTTACAGAACACTTGCCTGCGGAGGTGGAGAAAGGCATCTATTTCTAGGCATGTGGTGGTTGCTAAGGGGCTTGGAAAAAATCTGGGGAAAAATGTCCAGTTTGAATGGGGCTGACCAAACGGGAGGGGAACTGAGAGAAATGGAGAGTGTATTGACATAGGGATTTTTGTTTGCCTGTGTTGTGGTTGTTACACACAGCCTGTGTTTTTTAACCAAATTCTCATTTGGTCTTTTAGCAAAACAGAAACAAAAAGTGGTAAGTAGTACTTTCACTTTTATTTCCTTTAATCCTGATACACAATTCCCAGGATTTTCATACGGATCTTGTTTGGTTAATGATGTGATGGGGTTGTTTTCTTCTTCCAGACAGAACACGTTCCCCCGTATGACGTAGTACCTTCCATGAGACCTGTCGTCCTGGTGGGGCCATCACTGAAAGGCTATGAGGTATGTCTTCCAGGTATCCAAATTAGTTAGCAGCTCTTGATCTGTAATCTTCCTCAGCACATTCAGTGCAACTGCTTTATGATAATTTTCCAGGTATCCACAATTAGTTAGCAGCTCTTGATTTGTAATCTTCCATAGCACATTCAGTGCAACTGCTTTATGATAATTAGAAGTGATCTTAGCTTAAACAATCACCCAAAATGTTGTATAAGAACAAAGAGCATGGTTAGTGGTGAGGTGAATTTTTCTCTGCCTTGCAACAGTGTCTGTGATGTCTCACCTGAAGGGCAGGGAACATAAATCCACTGCTACTCTTTTTGCAGTTTTAGTGCTTTAAATGCAACACACAACCATGATTTTCAGTGCAGTTATTCTTGATTAAATCAAGTAAGAAAAAGAATTTTGAGCACTTCAAGAAGAAGTTGGAACTGTCAAAGTAGCAAGTTAGGTCTCTGTACACATGTAAAATTTTAGTCAAACTAGCACATGCTTTGGACTTAATTAGTAAAAAAATTGAAGAAACTGCCCTGTTTCTTTCACATATAAAAATTTTGCATCTTCCCATGAAAGTCTGTGTTGGCACATGATATATCTGGACTCTCACAATCCTGCAGTTCTCCAGCACCTGAAACCAAATATAGGAAGTAAATATTAGTTCAGCATATTTTCTTGACTTTTTTGGAGATGATTAGTATATTAAAATACACATGTAAAGAAACCTTTGACCCTTCTAAATTACTCTCCTGTGCTCAGCCTGGAGTAGGTATGATAACAGGGACAGAGAAACACCCATTTCTCAAGGCTGCTGCGGATCCAAGTGAGCATTTAACACGTGCGAGAGGAGCGCAGGCTTTTCCTGGGGCATCTCAGTGAACTTAACCATCTGTTAAGTGTTTTGCTGAATTAGGAACTAAATGAACATGAACATAAAATCACAAGATACACTTCATTTAGCTTAATTAATGTGGTTAGTACTTTATAGGATATTATTAAACGTGGTTCTTTTTGGAGGATTCCGACAGGGATCCATTATTGGCATAATGCAGTGTTCTTGCATTGGGTTTTTTTGGTAAGAATGATTGAAAGTGTAGTTTAGCCAAGCAGGTACCTCATGTGCTACTCTCTATCTTTTAATTTTATGGTGATGGTTCTTGACAGGAGTAAATTTCATCCATTGACTCCCATGGTGCTGCACCCCAGATTCATTTGCCCGGGGACTCTCAAGTTTGGAGGGGGGAGAGGCTGTTTCTGAATACAGACCTCTACAGCTATGCTGTCCTGCCTTTGTTTAAGAAAATAACACTAAACATGACATCTTGAGTGTATAAATGGTAATACACAATACTAATTTAAATTATAAATGCTGGTCTGCATAACAGAAACACATTAATGTTTGCAACCGACATGGGAAAATTGTTTTGACTATTTTTTTCTGACTAAATTCTGAAGGAACTGTTTTGAAAAATGCCCTAGGAGGAGAAATCAGAGGCCTGGGGGCTGTGCTGAAGTTCCTGTCTAGACTGGCAGCTAATAGGTGTCAGCCTGAGTTGTCCCCAGAAGGACAAGGAGATGACAGCTCTTGGGGCTGAGCGTCTCTCGGATGCTTTACCACGTACAGGAATGGAAGCATCCCTTTTTTTTCTGCTTGTGTGCCTCTCGGAGAACTGTTTTTCTCTTCTGTTAGAACACTCATCCAACAGGAGAAAGCTGGTAGCTGAAGTTTTAAGCCAGTTCTAGTAACGTTACTGTAGGAAAAAAACCCCAAATGATGTGTTCAGGCTGGCTATTGCCGTGTGCTTCTGAAGGGCAGGGAGGGTGACAGCTCCTCACATCCTCCGTCCTGCCTTTTGGAGAGTGAGTCAGGAAACTTGCTAATTACAAATCCTGCTGCCACGAGCGTGACAATTCCGTGATTGCTACCTGTAAAAGGGGTTGGTTGTTGGCAGGATCCTTACCTTCTACTTACTTACCTCTTTTCCTTCTTTTGACTTCTTTTTTCTCCCTGTCAATCCTCCCCGCTCAATCTCCCTCACCTCCCCAAAGGTGACAGACATGATGCAGAAAGCTCTCTTTGACTTCCTGAAGCACAGGTTTGATGGGAGGTGAGAAATACTGTCCTTTTCATGCTTCCCCCCCCCCGCTGCAATGTGCTACTGACATTTTACTGATTTTATTTTTTTTTTAATTATGCATGTTCAAAACTGAGTTACTGTATCAACACCAAAATGCCGCCAGCTGTGGGGTGGAAAACAACTTATTTATTACTAGAAGTGCATGATCTTCATATCTGCTGTGTCTGTAGTAGGATTTCTTGGGTTTAACAGAATAATTCTGCCTCTGTATCATACCAGCCTGACTGATAGCACGTAAAAGTGTAGTTTTATTCACAGTCCTTCAGGCATATGACAATTTATTAACATTGGATACAGGTGCGTGCTGCTGGAGCAGCTCAGCCAGCCCCTGACACCAAATAACAAGTGCCTCTTGGTTTTATTTTGCTCAGTTTGGGCTATATTCATTCCAGCACCTTTTGTGAAGTTCCAGGCTCCTGTACAGCAGGATGTTCTCTAAATAAAACTAATCACACCCTGAAGTAAAGATCAGAAACAGCAGATTTCAACAGGATGCAGTAACAGTAGTTCAGACCAAAAATCAACTCTTAAATATTCTCAGTCAAAAATACTTTTTAAGGTGGTTTAAGGAAGGAAATGCTGAGAACTAAAATATAGAAAAAAGTATGTCAGAACTTCAGAAATTGTAAGGAGGGTTCATCTCGTTCAGCTGGGACACAGAGGATGTTTCCTAGTGAGCTTGAGAGAAGTAGAATTTGGATTTCTTTGCTTGGTCCATGGTGTCTCTTCCTTTCCACGGGAGCTCCTCAGTGCTTGTAGGTGTCTGCTGCATCTGTGGGATGCTCTGCCCTTCCTTCATCCTGGTTTGTCCAGGATATTCTACCCGTGAAGAGGAGCTTATACTGTGCTAACTAGTTTGTGAGAGTAAGTCAGGAGAGTGCAAGTCAGTAGGTCAGTAAGCTCTGAGGGAGTGAAGACAACAGCACCTGTTGTTTGGAGTAGGATTTATGGTGAAGGTACCCTTTTGGGTGCAGTGAGGAGACCACAGGGCTGAACGAACCCATCAGCAGCTGAGAGAAAATGTTTAATCAACAACTTCTGCACAAAATATCCCATCTCCTCCCTTATTTTTAATCACCGGGCTCAAGTGATTTTAGCAGATCATAGAATCATAGAAGGGTTTGGGTTGGAAGGGACCTCAAAGATCATCCAGTTCCAACCCCCCTGCCCTGGGCAGGGACACCTCCCACCAGACCAGGTTGCTCAAGGCCCCATCCAGCCTGGCCTTGAACCCCTCCAGGGATGGGGCAGCCACAACTTCCCTGGGCAACCTGTTCCAGTGTCTCACCACCCTCAGAGTAACAAATTTCTTCCTGAGATCTAATCTGAATCTTTTTGCTTCCAATTTAAAACCATTTCCCCTTGTCCTATCATTACCCTTCCTGGCAAAGAGTCCCTCCCCAGCTCTTCTATAGGCACCTTCAGGTATTGAAAGGCCACTATAAGGTCTCCCTGGAGCCTTCTCTTCTCCAGGCTGAACAATCCCAGCTCCCTCAGCCTGTCTTCATAGGAGAGGTGCTCCATCCCTCTGAGCATCTTCGTGGCCCTCCAGATCCTACAAACGTGGCGATTGATTTAAAACCTGTCAGATGAAGCACCACCGTACGTGGCAGTTAAATGATGGTTTTTCCGGGCTGTTCTCACATCCTGCTGGTGCCTCCTCTCCCCGCTCCAGAGCCGTGGGATGGAGCAGCCCCCGGTGCCCCTTGGCGTTAGGGGTAGGTCCAGAACCACAGCGTGTGTTCCCTTCCAGCTGCCAGCATGTGTCTGTCAGCTTTGACTGCGCTGGTGGTAACTGGGAGTCATTGTTTTGGGTTGGAAACCACGGCAACGGGAAGCGGTAAGTCATCTCCAGTTGCCACAACGTGATTGCTCTGAATATAGCCTTTATGAGGTGTATTTTTATACCCCATATGAGAGCGTGCTCAGCCAAGGGCCTGATCCACGAGGATCAGCAGTGCCTAAAGACAGAGAGAAAAGATGTAAAGCTCACTTGGATGCACCCCTCAGGCTGCATAGTCCCACGGGAGGCAGGACTGCACCTCATCCTGCCCTCTGTCCTTCACCCACCGTGCCCTTAAGGGACAGATTCTGCCTGGAGCAAGGGGTTTTTTTTAGAAATCCTATGGCCATTATTGGCAAAGAGATCAGGTCAAAGTATGAAATTTCAGCGCTGAAAAACTTAAATACCACAAGCAAGCTGATACAATCGACTTTAGCTCTGAGTAGCTTTAGAAAAATGAATTAAATTCCTCTTTGGGCAGCTCAGCTGCTTCTTGGTTCTCCTGCCAACTCTTACAGCTTCGCAGTCTTTCTCCTTCCCTCTTCTTTTTCTTTCTCTCCATCTCTTCTCCAATTTTGTGACAGTCCCATGTTACCAAGAAGGGAAATGACTTTCCAAGGGAGGAACTTTTCAGAAGACTTCAATGAGACGTGAACTCTCAGGATTCCTTCCCTCGCTCTTAATGCACTTGGCTTCTCTCAGCTCCTCCTCTTCTAACTGGGACATCCCCCTCTGGGCACTGGGGTGAAGGAAAGGCCAGAGGAATGGCCAGAGGGCTGTGTTGGGTGGAGAGGATGCTGCTGAAGCTTGGCTGGCACTTGGTGTTTGGGAAACTGCTGCTGGTGCATCGTTTTCTAAATGCATCATGTTTAATCAGTGCAGGTTGCAAAGGCACTTTTTTCTGGACATCTTTCAGCAGCACTGATCCTTAGCATTCCTTCTTCCTCAGGAAAACTGAAATGGTTCTTGTACCTGGCCCTGTAGGTGAGCTCCTTCCTCTGATTCCAGCAGGTCCAGGAGCCAGAGGTGCGATCGGGACCACCATGTCTTACCGTCACCTCTAGACCCACTTGGGGGTCTAAAGCAGGTCTAGACCCACCTTAGATCCACTAATCCATTAATTTCTCCCATTTCTTTTTAAAACTCGTGTATACTTTTGGTCTCTACTGCATTTTCTGGCAAAAAATTTATTTATGTGTTATGCAGAAAAATACTTGCACTTCTTTTTAACCCTCCATCTGGTAATTTCCCTCCAAGCTGCATAAATTCTTTGCTCTGTGGAATATGTGCTAGTCATTTCCAGCTTGCTTTCTTTTCATTACTTATGGCTCTTTGGCTCCTCACAGGCCTAAATGGATTTTACATGGAGGGATCGTGTGGTCTTTGGTTTATAACCTTTTGTCTTGGGGTCAGCTCACTGACAGATCGAGTTCAAAAACCTTCCTTAAGTTAACGAGGAGGCTCCAGCAGCACAGAATCTGTGCTCAACTTGTTTTTCTCCTGTTCAACCATCAGCCCCATCATGTAGCCCATGGGCACAGCCCCGGGGCTGGCAAAGGAGAGTGCCTGTCCCAAAGCCAGCAGCTCCTTTCACTGACACTTGGGCACTCAGATGCCAGTGACACCATCTGCTCAGTCCAACGTCTCCTTATCTCTCAGCAACGTCAGCTTTAATCCGTGGTTTAATGATCTGGGAGGAAAAGTGCTCACACTGTTACGACTCCGTTGTTCCGTGTGCCCTAAGACTCACATAACTGGTAGTATTTATGGTGCTGTGTAAACTTGTGTAGGAGATGAGTGAGTTGGGGAGGAGAAAAGTCAACTTCATTAAGTAGAACAGCAGAAAGGATGTTCCAGAGCCTACAGTACTGTAGGGAATAGAAAAGATTTTGCAATTATGCAGCGTTTCTCTTTAGTTGTTCTTTAACGATGACACGGCTCGGCTGTAAAACGTGTCTGAGAGGTGGTTTTATTGAGTTTGCACTTTGGATGGGAGCGTGGCTGTAAATCATGCCCAGCGTGCTGGAAACCTGACTGCTGTGCTTCTGTTCTGTCCCTGCTTTTCTTACTCACAGGATATCGATAACGAGAGTGACAGCTGACATCTCTCTGGCCAAGAGGTCGGTTCTCAATAACCCCAGCAAGAGGGCAATAATTGAGCGGTCGAACACAAGGTCCAGTTTAGGTAAGACAGCAGCACCTTCTGAGCATATTTGTGTACTGGAGGGAAGGGACGAGATTTCAGCCTTGAAGAACATCATCACTTCTGCTGGTTTAAACGTGTCTGCAGCATTTTCATGTATAATTCTGAATTTCACAAGGGGAGACAAGTGTTACCTGACTGAGGAGCGGCAGCAGCACACAATGTGCTGTGCTAGCCTCACATTAAGCAATTACTTTGTTAGAGCAAGCAGTATTTTAGTTATTATTTGAAAAAAAAAAATGAGCTGGGGGCCTGCAGGCAGGATATGGGTTCACTGCTGATTCCTTCCAAGGTGAGTTGGCTTCACAGCTCCCTCTTCTCAGCCCCATGCTTGGAATTCCACATCCCAAGCTGCTGGAGAGGTTTCCCCTTGCCCAGCCGAGAAGGAAACATGTTCTTACTCCTGACCCTGGCACTGATTTATGTATTTTACACTGAACAGCTACAGCTTAATTTTCCTGCCAAGCCCTGAGAGCAGAAGCTGGGGTCTGGATCTTCCCAGATCTGGGGTCTGGATCTTCCCCCTCTCTCCTCACAGTGACACGGCTGCAGGGTTGCCCTGCCCTAGTGAATTTTCAGTTCTTTCCCAAGAAATTTGTGTGCAGTAGATACATGCAGGTGACCTGGTCTCTGGACACCATCCCAGGAGGTAGAAGGAGTTGGTTTTCAGCCTTCTCAGGAAGAAAAGGCTCTTCAACCCAGTTCTCTGACATCCTGAGTGGCTCAACTAGAGGTAGAGGTCGCAGGAGGCTTCACTTGTAGCTGATGTTCTAGTAGAGGAGAGGAGGAACCCCAAAATTCAATGCTGCAGGGACGAGTGCTAAATCTTTTGGTGGCTGTGCATGTACGTTGCTCTGTGGAGCAGCTGTTGGGCAAATGAAATGCATGTGAGTTGCTGACATACGGCTCTTTTGTACTTTGGTGTAACTTAGAGGCTTCAGTTTGCACTGGGTTTATCTGTTTAAAATTCATCACGTGCCTGCGCGTGATTAAGAAGGATCAGAACAATGAATATCAGAAATACAATTTACATGGAAATAAATGTCTCCTTTTTCTAGAGACAAAAGTGCTTTGGTGTGAACGTTGCCATTAGTGTCGTCTTAAATAACACCCTGCCAATTATTTATCATAAACAAGTTTGTGTGGTTATAGAATTAGGAGGCCACAGTTCTGCTTCTCCCACAGACTCTTGTTTAGGTTAAATCAGAATTACAATCTGAGAACAAAAAAGTTCTAAGGAATATCAATACCTCACTTGTTGCCTGAAATAAAAAAACACTCCTAAGTTATTTTGCAGATTTGGAAAGTGTGCTTAAGTCTATTTTGTGTTAATAGAAACATGAGTATAATCCAGTGTTGAAATATGCTGATATTATCAATTAACATAGTACATATGTGTTTTCAGACAACAGAATTATCTCCAAGGTGATATTTATTTTTAAAATTGCCTTGAATAATAGGTTATTTTAAGGAAGTTACACTAATTCACATACGGAGTTCATACACTGAATGCAT